TAGCCCCCCCCCCCCCCCGAATTTCCTTCAATTTCGTGTACTGCGAGTTGTAACCGATTTTCCAATATAGATCCGGATATTTCAATGGCGTTGTTGTTCGTCGATTTAGCATAAGCGCAGCAGTTCAATAAAGGTTAAATATTAGCGAGCTTTGATTTTAAATCATTTTTATTTGCATTGATAAATATTCATTAAATTACATTTAATATTGTCTTGAAAATATTGAAGAAGAATTTTGTCTCACTGATCGGTAATATGTACCAACCATGTGGCGCATCTGGCCGACATTAACCGTATGGTTATATAAGAATTTAAAAAAAAAAAAAAAAAAAAAAAAAAAGAATTCAAAAAACAACAAAATGTATAGAATTTTGAAGGAAATTTTAGCTATACTCGAACTAATACAAATAATAGGTATTTTTGTCCTACATATTTATCATAATAATAATAATAATAATAATAATAATAATCGTCAACGTAATAAACCTTATTTGTCATCGTTAATCATTATGAATATTGTTTTATCAATTCATTTGAAGCGCATATATAATAAGCGATCGATAACTCTATTTAGTTGTATTATTTACTCTCGATTACTTCTCCTCTAGTAATAATATTAATCGTCGAAACGATTAATCACGCAAAAGCTTTAAATATAGTTAATAAACATTGCTTATTTTTAGATGTTACCAAGTGGATCTTTAAATAGACTTCTGACGTCTAACACAACTATAAACAACGACATTATTATTCTCACTGCTTGATAGATCCTGATAATTAATAAATAAGTTGGTTTGATTTCGTAAAATTTATTATTACGTACTTTTATTTAAACGTATCGAAGAAACGTTCTATTTTAATTTCATAATAGACATGTGCGTTGACATTAAAAACGTCGATTAAAAAAAAACGATTGCATTCCGCTAAAAGTCCAGAAGCGGACATTAGCTTATAAAGTAGTAAAGTGGACTATGAAGTGAAACCGCTTTTCACGATCATTCCTCCCACACGAAGTCTTGAATGCCCCGTACTTGAAAAATTGTATCCGCCAAGGAAGTACGAGGTAGGGGAGGAAGAGGGAAAAGAATACGACAGAAGCAATGAGAGAAAATAACCAAATAACAATGAGAGGCCGCACTCGTATCACAAAATGAAAAAACACGTGCACGCTTACACGGTCTAATGATATCGCAAGAATAAGTCGGCTTGTGGTTGCGAGCGTAGCGGGTGGGTGGGAGGGTTGGTAGGGAGCAAGAGGTGGAATAGATCGTCCGTCGCTCTTGATGAATAAAAGATCAACTTTATTAAAGCATTACGACAAGCGAGTGGAAACGATAGAGCGCCTCGAGAACCAGGACACTAGATATATATAGCGAGGAGGGATATCGGGGTCGTTACGAAAATATACACAAAGCGTCGTCGCGCGTACTCAAACGCGATTTCGTCTCACGGATTTGCGCGACGTATCGTCCCCCCCCCCCCAACCGACCGCGATAGTCCTAGGAAAAATTCGTGGCGATTGCGCGGGAGTGGTGCTCCCCTCGAGAGCTCCTAGAAGCCGAACAAGGAACAAAAAAACAAAAAACAGTGAAAAATCACTGTCATTGTTTCGCTTAAGCACGCGCGATTTGTACGACTTAACGTGGAAACGTGAAAGTTCTTGGGAGCTTTGGCTTTGTTGCCGTTGGATCGATCGATGATCGGCTGCCGCTCGATTATCACGAATTTTCACATGCATTCGAGATACGATGCGACAAGATTCTGGTGATGAAACGGTCGGTCGAGGAGTCTCATTGATAATAAATATTTCAGTTATAAGACGCTGTCACAAATGTAATGAAAAATCACGATTATCCTTCACGATTAAGTAATAAGTAACAATAAGAATCGGCTAAGCTTTAATGGCTGTATTGGCGTGATCGTTATTACGCGTTAGTTCCTTAATTATTATTGGCGTCGATAAAAATAATAAATAAATAAATAAAAAAGGTGGCATCGAATGTTTACGTGATAAAATGTTAAATGTTAATGATAATTTAATTATCTTCGCTCATTATACATTTTACGAGTATTTTCTGTAACTTGGACAAGGTAGACATTTACAGTCTATCATCTTATATTTATTTAGATGTTTTGCACTACCAAAGTGCCACGTGCCTGCGAGGTGAATGATTCTTAAAATAGCCAAAATATTATAATCTGCATTCGCTTATCATCGCTTTAACATTGACCATTATAGAATTTTCGTGTTTATTTGGATTTATAAGTGTTGTATATTCAGATTGCTAAATTGATGATTAAAGGTTTACCCCTTGACGCGCTCTCTTTGCACAACACCCAATCCAAATCCCAATATGTAATTGTAAATTATTCGTCGCAGCTAAATCAACTACTCTTACATTCAAGCGCATTCATAACCAGATAGTTTTAGATTATCTTTTTTTGTTTGTGCATTCAACTAAATGTTTAAAAGATGGAGAGAAAAGTAATTGACACGATATAACATCAGCATCCGAAAGGCGTATCTTTGTAGTAAGCATTGCGTGGACGGACGTTTAGAGCAAATAAATCGAAAAATCATAGAATAGCGAATATTCTTATTATTGGTAAGGATAAATGACGTTGAGGGTCATTCGAAGAAAAATATACGAATCGCCACTTTGTTGAAATATAAATATTGTAATTTATTGGTTGAAAATTATTTGTTGAAAAGCACAAAATTTAGTGATGTATTAATTATGATTTATAGCGGACTAGTTTTCAGTCTCTTCCACTATTTAGCATTGTGAAGTTATAAAATTAAAGACGACTGTTGAAAGTATCGTTTCAAAGAAAATTCATCCATTGCTATGGTTATTTATATTGTCATTGGCATCATCATTGGTCATCACAGTAACAAATTATTGATTCGAAATGGACAAAGCTTATCCGCTTATATAGTATAGCCGAATGTAGCAATCCTGATGAGGCGCTATCGTAAAGAGACAATTTTTCCTGATATCGCTATAGGTAAAAGATCGTTGGCTTAATTAATCGTTTTCCAGTGGAAATGACACTTGGCGACTGGCCGTCATCGTGCGCTCGTTCGTATTGCATTCGTAATGTAATTTTGACATCTAACCTCAATCTTGGGATAGGCGGCATCGTGCGACTGATCTACTTTGGGAAAATCAGCAACGTCCGCAGTCGTGATAGCCCGGCGATTATCATTGAAGCCTTGGAAAAAGCCACTTTCCCGTCGGCCGAATGAGCGCGCTATCCCTAATGAGGCAAAAATCCCATGGCAATGGCTGCGGACGGCCGATGAATGAACAAGGAACGACAGGAAATGAAGACAGGGATTTCATAGCGTTATACGTTGCGTTATTCTCACCTTGTTTAAGCTTCCTTTTTCGCAGCAATCAGCACTTCTTCCCTACCATTGTGTCTCTCAAGATGCACGAACGCGCGGTTCTCGAGTGAGTGCGCCTCCGCTTTTTGTTGGATTTTTTCTTCCTGGCTTTCTTTATCCTTCTTTTTTCATTTCCTATTCTAATTCATTTGTTTGTTTGTTTGTTTGTTTATTTGTTTGTTTGTTAAAAGGTGATACTAGCGGCTCGACATTCTTGAAATACCCGTGAAACTACTACGACCCACTCATTAAACGACCTAATATGTACCGAAGAAATTAAAAAATCCCCTTTCACCCTCGTATTTAATTTCCTTTCCATTTACGTACTTCTTTGCCATTCGTTATTGTTTAATGTTTAATGCTTATTCATTTATAACGATGGGATGACTTTAATTTAAGGCTCGCAATGTGAAATTCGTGACGTCTCGTTAATGTCATTCGAGCGACATGTATGTATTTCGTTCAAATGTAATATCGTTTAAAATCTTCTATTATTCGTCGTAAGCGTTAAAGTCTTCGTTTCTTCACTTTTTTCTAATACTTACTTGGTCTTATTGATTTTATTTATTTATCTAAAATTATTAATTTACAATTTCAGCTGATCTCTATTATTAATTGTTATATCTCGCCTTAAAGGAGAAAAAAAATAAATAAATAAATAAATAAAACACTTTTTTAACAAATTTCATATTAAAATGTACGAGCGAATGGAGCAGAAATAATCTTCACCAATGAATGCGTTATCCATTCAACGACACGTCACTGCAAAATAGCTTACTCTACGCGGATACGAACGAATTAGAAAAGTGCTTAAAATGAAAAAATAAATAAATCATTGCGATCGCACGAGATTGTAAAATTCATGCTTCTCGGTGAAACAGTTGCAAACGTCCATTCAAAATACCAATAAATTATAATAATATTCGTGCCAAGCTGCCTTAACGCGCATTTAGGTTTAAACGAAAAAAATCACTACATTCCAGCGCTTTAATTTATATCAAACAGCATACCCTCCTTTAATTATCCCTAAAGCATAATATAAGAATAATATAGGATATAACGATAATGCGAATGTAATTGGATAATAATATAAAGCTCGGGCGAGACGAGTAATATTGGTGCGAAGAGGGCTCGAAGGAATAAATCGGCAATAAATCGGCAATAAATCGGATTGGGCCAATGTTTTTACGATATTGCAGCAAAAGTCACCGAATGCTCGTTAATAAATACGTTTTTGACTTATGTTCGCAGACCTTCACAGCGTGGTGCAACTCGCATCTACGAAAGGCCGGCACGAGTATCGAGACGATCGACGAGGATTTCAGGAATGGCTTGAAGCTTATGCTCCTCCTCGAAGTCATTTCCGGCGAGACCCTTCCGAAACCCGACCGCGGCAAAATGAGATTCCACAAGATCGCCAACGTTAATAAGGCCCTCGACTACATTGCCAGTAAGGGTGTGAAACTGGTGTCCATCGGCGCCGAAGGTGAGCCCATTGGAATTCTGAGTTCTGGGTGATCGTTGTGCCGATCTCGCGATTACCAATGCCTCCCCCCTTCTCTCCTCTCTCTCTCTCTCTCTCTCTCTCTCTCTCTCTCTCTCATCCCCTCACCCAATACTATTGATACGCGCGCGCCGTACCAGCCCCATCCGTTTCTTCACACAACCGTGACAATGTGCATTTTTAATGGGCCTGGTTTGTCAATCGCGTGACATTTGCATCGATTGCACGTACTTTTCAATATTATAACGTCTGAATTTCATTATATTGGGGGTGGGTGGCGTATTACCAAATTACGCGACTCTAGACACAGCGACGGAATCTATAAAGATTGTTAAGTTTACAAATTTTTTCACTTTCACCCCTCCCCCTCTCTCCATCACCCCCCCCCATCATCCCTCCTACGTCTCACTCGGCAACTTTCCTTCACGATATTCCAATAATCTTTCTTTAACGTCGTTAAGTATTTGAATTCTTGTAGTTATAACGTTATAACGCTCGCGAGGTATTACCAATTGACAATTACATCGTGATCCGTGAAATAACAGCGATAGTCTCTTTAAATTGTCGTCTCCAGCTCGAAATGTAATCCTCGCGAGCGTCGATTGCAAAAGTCCCTCCTCCTTGTCGAATAAACTACAAAAATTTCTTTGCGACGTACAAGCAATGTTCTCGAGCGATAAATATAAGACAATCGACATGAGAAAATGAATAATAAATAACGATAGATAAGAGTAAGGATAAAATGATCTAACGCCCGGTTGTGCTATATATACACGTGAACAGAAATCGTTGACGGCAACTTGAAGATGACACTCGGCATGATCTGGACGATAATTCTGCGCTTCGCCATCCAGGACATCTCCGTCGAGGAGATGACGGCCAAGGAGGGTCTGCTACTCTGGTGCCAACGAAAGACCGCGCCATACAAGAACGTCAACGTTCAGAACTTCCATCTGTCGTTCAAGGACGGCCTCGCCTTCTGTGCCCTCATACACCGGCATCGACCCGACCTCATCGACTATCACAAGCTCAGCAAGGACAATCCACTGGAGAATCTCAATACGGCGTTTGACGTCGCTGAGAAGTACCTCGACATTCCACGCATGTTGGATCCCGATGGTAAGATCCTCATTGGACTTTAGTTTAGTAGATTATGGTCGGTGGGTTTTTATTTATTTATTTTTTTTCTTTCTATTTTCTCTCTCTCTTTTTTTCTGCCCCTTCCGAAATCCACGACAATTATGCGATGATTTTTATAAACAGTGGAGTGATGAGATTCTTGCGATTGCTGTTTTTTTTTTTATTTTTTTTTATTATTACTCACGGGTGCATTTCTTTTAAATCAACTTTCAAATCAAACTTACCCCGCATATTCGACGCGTATTATTCATTTTTAATATACGTTTTTAATAATTTAACTTATGGTCGAGTTCAACGTAAATATAACATAATACGTCTATATTTATTTTACGCTACTTCAACAAGAGATGTAAACTTCAAAAATTAATTGTAACGATAGTAGCTCTACGAAATTATCCCTTATATTAAAACTGTCAAACGATCAATGTTTAATGTAAATATTTTTTATGCTTTTTACGTACCGATTGTGTTTCATATTGTATACATATATTGTTAGAATTTTCTTCTCCGTTCGAAAATTCAGTTTTAAAGTTAACGGTTAATTAATTATAGCTTGGAATATTATACGTTTGCTCATAGGTTGAATATAACGGTCGATTAAATATTAATTTCACCTCGTTTTAAATTAAAGCTGTTTCGAACAATTCAATATATATATATATATATATATATATATATATATATATATATATATATATATATATATATATATATATATATATATATATATATATATTTGTATACTCTATATAGCGATACAACATTAACATTTTGTTTAATGCACCGTGTGCATTTTCTCTGTACAATAAATAATGTTACGATAAAATTGTAACACTTTCATTATTATGTGGAAACATTGAATTGATTTGTTTTATTTTTATTTTTATCATTTATTAAAAAAAGTATATCAAAGTTATCGCAATATCCAAACCGCAATGTGCTAGAAATGTTGAATCTTATGCAATTGAAATTCAGATAAATAGATACTTTTGTGATTGACTGCTATTGAAATTTCAAGGCGACCTTATCTCATTACGTTGTCCCATAATTCAAATTAAGTTTCTATGAATTTTCCATGCATATCGAAGAGTAAATGTACAATCGTCTAAGGTGTTCAATCAATTATTATGATTCCGAGACACAAGAGCTTTTAAAGTATTATGAATGAAAGTCGGAAAATCTTTTATTTTTATACATATACGTGAAATTAATGTTTGTCTCTGGATTAAATGGCCAGTCGGTGAAAATCGGCCTTATTCGTGAGATCTCCTGCCATAAAGGACAAAATTTTTCTCCATCACTTTACCTTTACGTTTGATAGTTAGCTTGTTTATTGACAGTATTTATTATCCTTTTGGGCCTTAAACTATTCATTATTATATTCCAATAGATTTGATCAACACCCCTAAGCCGGATGAAAGGGCAATCATGACATACGTATCCTGCTACTATCATGCCTTCCAGGGCGCTCAGCAGGTCAGCAGCTAACTGCGTGAACTGCTTGTGTTTTGCTCCTCCTAATCCCCACTAGTAAACAAACAACAAAATCAATATACTAAAGCAAACGATAATTCATTGAAATTCTGTGTTCCTGACGTAATTCGTGAAGTTGCTCGTCCCTGTTCCCTCGTTGCTTTAAATTATGCTCACAAGCCATGCTTAATGAAGCATATGGCGATGCAGCCTAGGCAGGTTAAATTTATCAAATTAATGTCGATTTTACGAGAACGTTATAAAGTTTTCGTGGCAATGTCATTAGAAAGCCGAGCAACATAAAAATTCCTCCATTTACTCGTGCTAAAAAACATGTAAATCCCAACCTTTCGTGTTTGTCATAATCGTGAAAAAAAATCATATTTCTAATTCGATAAGTAATATTTTTTCATGGGAATAAGAGCTTTTACAACCAAATAATTGGCCGATTCGCATTCGAACATGTAGAATGACGTGCATTTATTGTCCTTTAACATCCCTTAATTAATAATGAAGAATCGATTCCCGTGATTCCCCCGTGCAACCTTTCGTTACACACGTTTCCTTCAAATATTTTTTTTTTCATTTTTTCTCGTTTTTCACGATTGACTGATTTAACATAATAATAAATAATAATAATTAATAATAAATAATAATAAATAATACGTGATGATTGTATTTTTTTTTTTTTTTTTTTTTTTTTTTTTTTTTTTTTTTTTTTTTTTACATTACAATTCTACTTGTTTTTGTTAGCGTACAGCCATATACAACAAACAGCCTTATAATGCACTAACCTATGCATGAGTTTTTTTCTGACTGTGTTTTTCTAGATATGCGTAATACAGCTATGCCCGACGAACGAGCCGTTATGACATATGTGTCGTCGTATTATCACTGTTTCAGTGGTGCTCAGAAGGTGTGTGAAGTTCTTTTTGCTAATTAAAACTCGTGTTTATTAACCATGCTTTCTTTGTATGGTTTTTCTAATTGTAACGAGGCGCCACATTACAACGAGATATTACCAATAGTCGTAAAGTTTGCGTTGCGAAATATCAAATTTTTAACACATCGACAGTCTTGTGAAAGTTCTGTCGATCATCGTTGTTAATTTGTATTTGTATAGACCAAAGGATTATATAAAATATATTTTATTCGTTCGAGGAAACAGTTTGACAAAGCGGACAATAATCACAACAACAGCAACAACAACAACAACAACAACATTAATATTTATAATAACAATAACAATAATAACAACTACATTAATAATAGTAATAATAATAATAATAATAATGATAATCCGCTGTGTTTGTTGAAATAATTTTGAAAGTAATGTAAGAACTTTTAATTACCGATAAATTTATTTATCGTAATATTTGCTACAACCGAATTCCCTATAAATCTAACGTTCGTTGATTGTAAATTATTGTTTGTTGAAAACAAAAAACAAAAACAAAAACAAAAACAAACAAAAAAAAACAAACAAAAAAAATAGAAAACAAAAAGAAGATTAGCCATTAAATCCAGCTAATTAAACCATATGTTTTATTTATTTATTTTTTTTTTGCAAATTTTTATAAATTCATTCGGTTCTGAAGGTAATTAAAAAAATATACAACAATATTATAATATAATTATTCAATCACGTAATATAGTTAATCTTTTATAGAAAGCAATAATTAGCAATGAGCAAGTAATATGCAATAATTTCCATTACATACTTTGCCTACAAATTTTTCTTAAAAATAAAATATCAACAAACATAAGAAAATAACTCATTTTGCTAAAAATTACTTGCTTCAGCATAATGTCAATTTTTTATGTCCATTTTTAATATCAACGAATACTGTTGTAATGTTACATAATGAACGCAAAATGAAATTGATTATTGTAATGGGGTCGCGCGATTGAAGCAAATAAAATTTATACGGCAGTACCTAATAACGAACGAAAGGTCATTCATTCTACGATTAAAATATATTTTATACGAATCGCAAATTGTAAATAAAAATTTGAATTTCGCAATTTGAATAAATATTTGAATAAATAAATACACTATATAGGGCTATGTACTAGGCTTTCTTGCGAGTATTCTCGTGGAAAGCCGTCGCTATTAAAAACAACAAAAAAATCAACAACAACAACAAAATAAATAAATAAATAAATAAATAAATAAATAAATAATAAAATCTAGGCAATCGAATGATTAATATGTGAAAATTGTTAAATATTTTAAAACAAAAAAAAAAAAAAAAACAATAAAAAAAAATATCCAGGCTGAGACGGCAGCCAACAGGATCTGCAAGGTGCTGAAGGTAAACCAGGAGAACGAACGCCTGATGGAGGAGTACGAGCGTCTCGCCTCGGACTTGCTCGAGTGGGTGATGCGCACTATGCCATGGCTGAATGGCCGTCAAACCGATAACTCTCTCGCGGGTTGTCAGAAGAAGCTCGAGGAGTACCGGACGTATCGTCGTAAGCACAAGCCTCCCCGCGTCGAACAGAAGGCCAAGCTCGAGACGAACTTCAACACCCTGCAGACGAAGCTGAGGCTAAGTAACCGACCGGCTTACATGCCCACCGAGGGTAAAATGGTCTCGGACATCAATAAGGCGTGGAAGGGCCTCGAGACCGCCGAGAAGGCCTTCGAGGACTGGCTACTCTCGGAGATGATGCGCCTCGAGAGGCTCGAGCATCTCGCCCAGAAATTCAAGCACAAGGCCGCCGCCCACGAGGACTGGACCGTCGGCAAAGAGAAGATGCTCACCTCGCATCACTTCAGGCAGTGCAAGCTCAACGAGCTCAAGGCCCTTAAAAAGAAGCACGAGGCTTTCGAGTCCGACCTGGCCGCTCATCAGGATCGGGTTGAGCAGATCGCCGCTATCGCCGAGGAGCTCAAGTGAGTGCGGCTACGTTCGCTAGTATGTCCTTACATTTGGGCGTTCGTTGCGTTTTTTTGTTTTTTTTTTTATTTTTTTTGTTTGTTTTGTTTTGTTTTGTTTTTTTTTGTTTTTGTTTTTGTTTTTGTTTTTGTTGTCGACAAGTCCATTGGAATATTTAACAAGCCGCTGTTATTTTAAGTAAGATTTTAACTGATTTAACGAGCGAGTTAACCATCTAAATATCCATTAGTCAGTCAACTCGGCAT